GAGAGTTTGGAAACGAATGAAGTATCAGTGGAAAAATGGGAGAAGACAATAGAGTGTAAATGAATTGGAATAAGATTCAGTCGTGAGTTATAAGGTGTAAAAGTGGTATGTTTACATGTTGGGTAATTTGGATTTTGCATGGATATTCGATGGTTAATAAGAGGGGTATGGCCGAATTTGATTTCCAAGGTACTTTTTGTGTACTGAATATATTAAACAAATGGATATCGTCTGCAAAGTCCTTAGGTATGGCCGAACACCCATTACTTAATTCAAAATATGACCGAATTTACTCTATGAGAAGGAAATCGGTCCTTAATTGCATAAAAATGGAGAAATCGGTTTCTATTTGGGCCTTATATGTAAATTCGGTCTTGAGGAGCCCAAACAAAGAGGGAATTCGGTTTTTGTGAAGGTGTAACAAGGTGTGTTTGGTCATGGCTTTATCATGACCGAATTCTTAATGAAAAGGTGTAACAATCATAATACGAGACTAAACCCTTGGGGTTTTCAACTTCATTGCTACGCATACGGGTCATGTGCTTCGAGTAGTACGGGCCCATACTAGCTTCCACGCGTACCCGCATTTTTCTCAAGGATCATCACAACCTCTCAACACAAATACAACAACTAGGATACACATACATCCTATTCTCACTCTCTTGAGGGTGGCTAAACATTCCTCATCTGGCTGGCTTTTCACATATATATACTCATCCATGAAACTTTAACTAACCCTGCAGCACTCGTGTATGCTAATCATACATAACATTAGATATTATAGACAGCTGAATACTTGATTCTACCTTAAGCCCACAACCAAACAAGGAACAAGAAATAAGGCTAAACCAAACATTCTTAGGCTATAAAATATTAGTTATGTACAACTATGATGCGTACACTAAGAAACTGCAATAACGATGTCAATTTCATACAAGAAGTAACTCTAGGCTATTAGGCATCATACATTAGGCAATTCTATCACTACCATGCCGTTTTATCAAAACATCATATCAAATAATAGTGGGGTAACTTGGGGTATACTTTCTTGCTCCGGTTGATCGTACACATTGCATCCTTCCTTGGTTACTTTTGAAAACAATTTTGAAAATACATTTTTAAAACTTTTTTAGATCCTTAGTTTGAGTCTGGATTCACATGGATGTTCATCCAATTCTATCAAACCAAGGCTCTGATACCAACTTCTAACATCCCCAAAAATCACAATAAATTTTAACTTTTCAAAAACAACCCATAACCATACATGTTTACAAAATCATTATTTCAAAAGTGTATTTTAGTAATCAGGGTATCCCAAAATCCAAACAACATAAAAACCAATGGATGTGCATGATCACGCCTTCACCTGGCCACGGTCATCTAAAGTACTTGAAACAATAAACAGAAACTGTAGGCCAAAGCTTAGTGAGTTTCCCCAAAATACCACCACACAACATATAACATATACAACCCTGCATGATGGATCGACAACCTCCCGCTTGGCTTACCCTGGCCCGCAACCTCCCACTTTGATTGCCCTGCATGTCAAGTACTGGGTCAACAACCTCCTGGTTGGACTACCGTGGCCGACAACCTCCCGATTGGAATACCCTAGCCCACAACCTCCCTGTTGGATTGCCCTGGTCTATTGACTGACATCACAAAGTAGTAGTCTCAACCCCAATCATAGCATGTCGACATATAATAGATAACAAGCATATTCAGCAGACAAGTAATTATATAGACAAAAATCATAGGTAGTGCTACAGATCTACAGATCTACCAGCCTAACATATATTAGCAGCCATCATACAATCATACTGATCTACCACATACTAAACATATCATCAGTTACTATATATGTTAGAATATCAATCCAATGGGCCAGCCCTGGTGCCTTCGACCCACAAGTACAGTTAAAAAAACTCACCTCTCAGTCTGAAAAGATCACTGAACAGGACACAACTCCAAATATCAGCTCAAACAGTAACCTTTTCATCAAAACGACCAGCCTCAATTACCACTTAAAATACCCAAAATACCCTTAGGTCAAACTTGGTCAAAATAGATCAAAGTCAAAAACTTAAACTTGATCAACATAGTTGAGTATGCCCAACGTACTCAGCTTGTACGCTTGGCGTACACGAGTTGACCAGAAAACAAGAAGGCTGACCACGAACTCCCACCGTTCCTAGGGAACGCCCAATGTTTGTGACTAAGTCTTTTTCCTTTTAATTAAGAGCTTAATCCTTAAGCTCTTTTGTCCATAATCCAGATCCAACCCTAAAATAACGTCCTTAACCATAGAGTTTCCAACTTTATGGTCTTGTATGGCCATTAAGTGCCCAAACACAAAAACTCTAACTACTTAACCAATTCAGATAACCTAGATCATGCATAGAAGGAAACTAGTGATAAATATTACATTTTTATGCTTCTAGATGCTCCAAAACATCTGAAAAGGACAACTTATATGGATTAGAGTAATCAATAATCATAATACCAAGCTTATGGGACCAAAAGAACATCATTTCATGGATAAACAAGGTCTAATTAATGCTTCATCAACTTCATAGCTTTTTACCTCCAAATGATGCCAAATGATGTTGCTATTCTGGATCCAAAGAGTCCCACTCCTCCAAGATGATATTCTCTTATTCCTCTCCCCTTAAAGGTTACCAACACACACACACAAAAGGTCAAGAATGCTTTAAAAATGGATTAGGGTTTGCTTGGGGACGAAGGTGGGTTGGAAGCTGATGAAAGAAGGTAGGTTAGGGACTTAAAATGCTTAGGGTCGCGAGTGAAAGCTGCCTCTAAAAGAAGGGTTATCGAAATCACTTCGTTATCAAGGCAGATTAGGCCATCTGAGCATCGAAAAAACGTGGTATTGCTATTTTTCCTGTTCATCTACAGCTTTTATCGAGAATCATGTAAAACCTTTTTCTTTGTTCCTAATTTTACTTGACATTAGGATATGTTATGACTATGATTTTGGCAATCTGATTTCAAGATCTAGAGTGAGGGTATTTCAGGATGAATGATGTGGTTTTTTTAAAGATGCTTGATTGGGTTTCCTTCATACTTAATATACCCCTGTTTTGTCTGATTTCATTATATTGTGAAGCACTAATTCGTATTTTCCATATAATTTTATGTTCTGTTTTGTACTTTGGCTGTTGCAATCATGTTTAACTTTTAGGCCTTTTGGTTGTTGCTAATTCCCAACATTTTGAATATCACAGAACTAGGTTAATTTAGTGATTTGATCATCACCATGTTAAAATTTGTAGGAAGCTACTTCTGAAATGTTTTGGGAAGTAACAAATTATGCTGCTCAACACATTTCCAAGGTCACATGATCTTGTTAAATCGTGTGGTGTTCATTCCATGCAGTAAATGGGTTTGTTTATATGGAAGAAGTTGTTACTAGCATGCTTTTGATGATGTTCTCTTTTTTGATTGATCGGTTCTTGTAGATGCACATGACATGTTTTTCATGCAGCTTACGTTAGATAACTAATTATTGATTAATTGCAGGTGTTAAGATCAAGTGGGTGAGCAGTTCTTGGGATAGAAAGCTCATTGTCCAGAAGAAGAGAGCCTCACTTAATGACTTTGACAGGATCAAGATCATGTTGGCAAAGATAAAGGTATAAGTTAACTTCTACTAATTTACCAGGATTTTTTTTTTTTTTTTTTACTTTTCTAGATAGCCATTTTTCATATTGATACCAGTTTAGGCTATAGTTTAATAATTTGGTTGCATAAATTTTTAATAACTTGAAACATGGCTGCATATAATTTGTGATGTTGCCATTGTTGGGTGCTTAGAAGCTGTGTGTTTTTTGTTTTTACCTTTTTTTCTCCATGTATTAAAGGAAACCTTATTTCAAGATTTAAACTTTTGTTTAGGTTGCAACTGTTGGGAAAAAGCTCTTTCCAGTTGTCTCCTCGTGAAACCTTGATTCCATTGATTTCATCCTGATAAGATATGATTATGTTTCCAAATGCAAGATTTGTTTTTATAATATTTTAATAAGTACCTAGGAGCACTAGGTACAAGTATGGTTTTGTTTAACCTTTGAGCGGTTTATATGTAAGTGTATGTTGTCCCTCATGTTTTGGAATACATGCAACACTACATGTTGATTTTAGTTGACAAATGTTTTTGTTTTTGTTTATTTTTTTATGGTAATTTATTTATTTATTGGTATTTCGCTTGTTTTGTTTGCTTGAAATTTTGGTGTTTTCATCAATAATGTTCATAAAATAAAGTTTGTTTTTTTATCGCTAACCGTAGTCACTAGCAACGTTTAGCTATATGTTTTATTGTCAAACTGAAAACGAAGTTGAATCTTTTTCCAATTTCCTTAATCATCAATTCGAAATCAAGTAAAGAGTTCGCTCTTAGTAAATAATAAATTTTACTCGATCCCAACAAATCCATATCCTAGGAGTGGTAGGTCCAATACCATCCAATAAATTCTTAACTCACCAGTTTAAAGTTTAAACATTACATCTTGAGTACTGTTATTTTTGTTTAGAAGATATTAAATTTAATACATCATTAAAATTATAAATATTGACAGCATTGATAAGTATATAATCCTAAAAAACATTCTACTGATGGTTTATGCGCAGATCAACACAAAGAAGGATGAGAAATTTGGAAACCTTATATTGCAATTCAACATATTAGTAGTATAGTAGAAATGATCAGTTATAATGAACGAGAGCCATCATGCAATGAATTGGTCCAATGATGAATTATCGATGAAAAAAATACTATGCACTATTGAATGTTGAAAAATTGGTCCCATCAATTGCGAATAAAAGTCAATAGTTGTGAGGAATAAGTGAGAGAAGAGTTTTGCGATATTTAGTAATTTAGTATAAAGTGTAAGTATCAAATTTATAAAATAAATGTTTGGACTTTTACACATCTTTAGTAGTTGTCACTTATTGAACAAGAGAAATGTCTCGGTACAATTATTGAATCACAAGGGAGGAGAAAGTGAGAAGACAACAGTTGCTTCCTGCGGCGCTCCCCGTGTAACTGTTTCTTTATTTAGCCCCTTACAACCATAGAACCTCAAACGTCGGAGAGATGACATATCGGTTAACCACATGGGCAGTTCTCGCATTCCGAATCTTATTAAGGTTAACTTAGTCAGTGAAGTGAGGTGTTGTATTTCTTCTGGCACTGACTCCCAATGATCCTCACCGTACATTGTTAACGAGTGAAGGTGGTTCCTCAACTTCTGGATGCCTTGGAGACTCGGGAAAGAATCCAGCTCCTTCGAGAACGGACCAAGTGACAAGTCATTTAAGAAGGCAAAACTGTCAAACATTTCGCAAGGCAAGGAAGTCAGTTTGTCGCAATGGGTTATTTCCAAAGTCTTCAAAGAATGACACTCGTTGGGCAAATTGGCTATTTCTAATAGACTAGGGCACCTCCAGATAGATAAAGATTCAAGAGAAGTAAGTCCTTGTATGCTCTTAATGGACACCAGACCATTGCAGTCACTAATCTCTAAGGAAACAAGAGGATGGGGATGGCATTCATCTAAGTGAATAATATTCGGGCAATCATTGATTTCCAACTTCTCGAGGACAGGCGATATCGTTTTTGAGCTGTTGGGTGCTCCATCTATCCACTTTTCCAGTCTTTCCATATTATATAGTTGGAGCGATCTCAACGACGGAGACAAAGGCTTCCGTGATCTGGTAATTACATTGGAACTCCTTAAGCATCTCAAGCTGTCCATATTCCATAAAAAAAGACTCCGAAGATGTGGTAGGTGCTCAAGCTTCGGAAGAGAGAGGCAGCTCCTACATCCATCTAATTTGATCGAAACGAGCTTGTCAAGGGGTGTCTCATTCCCATCAATATTGATTGCCATCTTCATTACCCATTCCGGAAAATTATCACCAGGAAATCTTCTAATTGTCAATATTTTCACAGCTCCAGGGGGTTGCAAGCCTTCAAATACCTCCTTGTCGTTTCTGTTGGCACCTTCATTGCCACCCCAGTTGAATTCAATCTCGTTTAAATTTCTTTTTCCAGATAAATCTGCCATGACTGCATCCGCTTTGCTACTAAAATTTTCTATATTCGAAATACAGAGCTTTCCACTGAGGTGTTTTAACCGGCCTAGGTCATTTCTTAGCACGCCCACGTAATTAGGCACCAGTGTTCGAAGAGAAGTCAATTGTCGCACAATATTGTTGGGAATGCTTTTTTCAGACCTACAATATCTCAGGCTTATCAAATTTCTCATGGATTCTGGAAACTTCTTGAGACCATGGCAATTTTGCAACTTTAGAGTTTGCAAGTGGTATAACTTACCAATAGATTCCGGAAGAACACTGATATTGGTATATGACAAATCAAGATACCTGAGATGCACCAACTCTCCAATTGAATCATCTATCTCCTCTATTATACATCTTTCGAGTTTCAGGATACGCAGGCTCTTGAATCGTTGAAATGAAACATTGTTTTCAACTCCACCATTGAAGAACAATGTATTCAATGTGCTAGCCACCATATCCTTTTCAATTGACATAAAAACATTGGCTTCGAATTTATAATCCTTGTTTCGTTTTTGGTAAAAAGCAAGATGTTTAACCTCAGGAGAAATATGATCATCATTCGTCACACCCACCACACATTTGCTTTCAAGTTTGGAAAGTGATAACAAAAGATCATGCACCAGATCATGCATTTTACAACCAGTGATGTAACCATACTTATCACTTTCAACATCTTGGAACAACGAATTGTTTACCAATATTTGGAAAATATCATTTCCCACATCCTCCATTTCCACTTCTCTTTCCTCGTCCGCTTGAATCAACCCTAGAGCCATCCAAAGTTGGATCAGTTCTTCCCTTTCAATGAGTGTATCTTTCTCAAAGATGGAACAGTATGCAAAGCATTGCTTGACCATAGAATTGGGAAGATTATCAAAGCTCAGTTCCAAACTCTTTTGAACTCTCTGCGTTTTATCTTGTAGATCCCAAAGTTTGCTATTTTTGATGGCCAACCACTTCCCTCTGTTATTGTTATTTGTCAACATGCCACCAATCAAATTTAATAGCAATGGTAAACCACCACACTTTTTTGCAATCTCGCGGCCTATCTCCTCCAGTTCTGGTGAAGGCATCGCTCTTGCTCTAAAGATGTCCCAACAATGATTATCAGAAAGACCTTTTAAAGGACATGAATCCATCTGCATGCCAGGAGTTCCGATGTCATGTTTCCGGGTAGTAACAAGAATGCCACTACCATTTTGTGAATTTACATAGAGCATATCCTTCCTAAACTCTTCCCAATATTGCCCTTCTTCATCCCAAACATCATCCAAGACGAGAAAATATCTTTTTGATGCCAACTTCTCTTCAAGACTTTTAATTAAATTGACCTTGAGGTTTGACGTAGGTTTCCTTCCAGAGAAGGATTCATAGATCTTTGCGAGAAGTGTGTGTATGTCAACCTTAACCGACACACACAACCATGCTTTAACATTAAAATGCTTCTCAATCTTTTTATCATTGTAGACCAACTTAGCCAAAGTTGTCTTCCCCATCCCGCCCATTCCCACAATGGGAAGAATCGTAAGTTTTTCTTCTTTTTTTGACTCGGTTAAAAGCTCAATGATATGTAGTTTATCATCATCCCTCCCAACAATTTTAAATTCTTCTGGATTTGGAACAGTCTCCCTCCAATAGAGACAATCTGGAACAGGGCCAGCAGAGTGTTCAACTTGTAGTCCTAAACTGTTTGCTCGTGTATCGATCTCCAGCAACTTCTTATTAATGTTTTCGATTTTATGACCTATTTCATTACGAAATGAAAGCCCTTTCAAGCTTGAAAGAGAAGGCACCATTCTTGACAACCGATCTCGTTTCTTTATCTGACGCCTCAACATTTCGTAATGAACCTCGTCCAACACATCATCAGCTTCCCCCACAACAACTTTTAGCTGCTTCAGCCACACCATGACAGCATCTGTTCCCTTTTGTCTATCCGCATCGTGCAACTTGGCACGAATCAGGTCCAATGTTCTGTGGAGGCTGGCCAGCTTTTCCTCGTAACCCCAGGCAATGGCGAGTTCACCCGCAGCAATAGACAACACCTTTTTCAGTATCCCCTCGGCAGCAATAGTCGCTAAACCTTCGGCCATTTTCACTGTTGAGAACTGAGAAGAGAGAGGAAGAGTGGATGGATGAATGGTGGAAGAGATAGTGGAATAAAAAGAGAATCATTATAATTTGTCGGCATGTATAGTGGAAAATGGTATCCATTCCAAAAAGTGTCCAATAATTGAGTTATATCAGCATTCCATTATAATCTCTTAATTTCTTTTCTACTTTTACTTTACTACTTATAGAATTATTTTCTTTACGTATCATTTCTTTGGAAAATCAATTGGCTTATTATAGTCTTTATAATTTCTTTTTTAGTAGTTAATATATAATGTTTTATGTAAATTAGAATTCACCTGCTTTGTGACTGATTTATTTATATTTACCTTCTGATATACTTTTATTGTAATATATAAATGCATCCAGTTTATCGATTTTAATCTTTATATTTTTTATATGGGCTGGAATAGTTTTTTCTTACACCATCTATCTAAAAAGATGGAAGTTTTTTAACATTTGCGTCAATGAACGTACATTGTTACTTTTTACATTCAACTCTGCTTTCGCCTGAAGTGTTAATGGTGACATATCTGATGTGTCAGTAGCACACAACATTAAGTGGCTGTCATGATCTCTCAATTGCTTAAACTTACATCTTCTGGAAACATCTGTTCAGTAAAACGATGCCTTTTAGATTTAGTATTTTAGTAGCTCAATTATCTCAGAACTCTGACTATTTTAGAGTTCAAGACCTTGTGGATTGCTTTTATCTTTTGGTTTTATTTGAATAACATCTCTCCATTCGTCTGCTCTAGATGTTGGGTAGTATAGTTTCCTTTTCCTTGTACCTACTTTTTTTTTAAAATGTTTTTGGACCTGTACTTACTAGGAGCTGCTTTACAGTTCTTTTTATAACTTCATGTATCTTTCTGAAAGCAACTTATGTTGTGTGTGATTTTTGGAATGAATTTGTCGCCTAGAAGTTTTTTCTTTTTTGACATTGAGTGTTCCAGTTATCTTACAATCTAGTATCATTTTTTTGTTCTTTGGTTCTGTAACCAAATCCAGTTAACTTTATGCTCCAGTTAACTTCATAATAAAATTAAACAAGATAGTTTTATAGGTGAAAATGTTCAATTGATTTTCCAAGTTAAAAGAGAGAACCTTCTTAGAACCATACAATGGTTGTTTAGCAGGGTGGCTGGTTCAATGTACTGTTAGCATCCTACTTTCATTTATTAAGTCTCATACTCTGAAAGCTTCAAACATGTATAGCATTGTACTTTCTATTTTTTCTTATTGTAAAATAAACTTTGAAAAACCTATACAACTATAGCAGTAAAATTGCATTGTTTTTGGACGATATTTCTATAATTGGGCATTTGTTTTCCAAAATACAATATTGTGGTAAGAAGAAATGAAAAGTAAGATGCCATAATAATCAAATCAACAAAAGTACATTGCTATTCTTTCATTTAACTTAGTTCTTGTAATAAGAAGAAATGAAAGTTGCTCCATGAATCCAACCCCAAACATTTAGACAATAAAAAAAAAGGTGACTCAAGAACTGAGTTAACAAAAAAAATTACACTCACAAGAACAAATCACAATTATATTTTTCTCCCCTGAGAGTTAGAATACAACTCAAATAATGTGCTAAATCATGCATGAATCAGATTTGAATTGGCTGCCAACCAGTGAAAAAATAATGTGATAGATTATTAGTAGTGTATATGTAAGTATGAAATGTGTATGTCTATGGATACAGTAAAATCCAGATGATTTAGAAACAAATATGTATCATGTATGTATCTTTGCGTATATGTATTTGTATGTATATGGATCATATAGTACATTTATAGAGGCTTGGACTTTGTATGAAAAGTAATCTATCTATCACAATCATCCTGATGAACACCAAATGAAAAGTAATATAATGATACAGAGAAGGAAAATGGATGCAATGATGTTAAAGGAGCATAGAATCTGTGGAGTCTTTTCATTGGGGAATTTTAACAAACACTTTGGTGTTCATAAAAAAAAAAGTGGGTTACTCTGTACTTACCTGACCAATTTGTTATTGCAAACCATTGCCACATTCAAGCAAAGAATAATGACATACAAACAGGTCAATTTGCCATCATAAAGAAAACCAAACTTACATAAATGAATAAACTACCGTTTAGAATATCACCAGTGAAGACACAAAGCTTCTGGTGGTTCATCCAAGAGAGAGAGAGAGAGTTAGCGGAACTTCAAAAACTCAATTGCATCTCCATCAGACACATTATCCAATCAATTTCATATGTAAAGAGGCAGCGACGGTGAGTTGAAAACCAAGAGGGGCAACGAGAGAGATAGCTGAATTTATTTATTTATTATTATATTTTGTGTGGGTGGGGCAATGAAAATAATAAAACAAATTGAATGTATTCGTACCATCTCCCGTTTACATAATATCCGCAAGACAAAATTGTAAAATGGTACAAGTGGTTTGGCAAATTTAGTCATTTTAGTCGGAAAAGTTTTTGTTGTGCGTCTAATTTTGGATACCTTGTTTTGTTTTGTTTCATATGGCTGACATTTTTGTGTGAAATGACAAATATACCCCTTTAGTATTTTTTTTCAATTTATTATTATTCTTTTACTTAAAAAATCAAAAGGAAAATCACTCTCTCTCGTGTGTATGTATGTATGTATGTATTACTCGCTACCATAATTTTAACATATGACTTTGAATATGAATCGTTGATGCTCCCGGAATTTGTTATATTCGTACTTTAAATATCATGGTTTACTTTCGAAACTTCAAATTTATTTGGATAGACTTTTAGGGAAAATCAAGATTTGCGACAAATTCTACTACAATAGACTAACGTTGTTGTTGGATTTTGTAACATCCTGATGATGAGGTATTTTGAATTTTAACCCTATGTATAAAAGAATATTGTATTTTGACCCTTAGGCTTGTGAAAATTGTAAGAATGGCCCATAGTGGCATTTTGGTGATTTTGGCCAAAGGCGTAGTACGTTGGGCATACGTTGTGTATGCTGAGCGTACTAGGGCAGACCTTAGTACACTAAGCGTGCACCACGTATGCAGGGCGTACGTGAAGAGACCTTAAACCCTAATTTTTAGAGTTTGGTCCATATATAAGCATCATTATCACCTCATTTCTCATTTCCTCATCAACCTCCATATGAGAAAACGTCCCTCTAGTAAACCCTAAGTGAGAAGAGTGCATCTTGAGCTTATCTTTGTGTTTTATGGTATTCTTGAAAAAGAAGAAGGTGGTGGGAAGACCTTGAAGCTTGGAAAAAACTTGGATATGAGATTATCTCCTTGCTAGCAACCTCCAAGAGGTAAAAAGCTCAGAACTTGATCATCTTATCTTGTAGATCAAGCCATTTCTTCATTTAGGGTATTTTTGGTCCCAACTATGATGATTCTTGAGCATGGGATGCTACTAGTCGAATAAGTCGTCCTTTCAGACCTAATGAGGGGTCCTGAGTCATAAAAATGTGATCTTGATGCTTAGTTTTCCCCATGCATTCTCTAGAAGGTCTTAAGGTGTTTAGAAGTTGGGATTTTGCGTATTAAGCCCTTAATGGGCATGAAAAGTCATAAAGTTGGAAACTTTATGAGTCTTTGTGGTATTTTGGCCTTGGATTTGAAATTTAGACGTGAGAGCTTAATGTATTAATCTCTTATTAAGGAAAGGAGATTCTGAGCGTACGCCATGCATACCCCAGCGTACGCCGCACTTAAGTTCTCAACCTCCCGACTCCGGTAAAAGCAGGAGTACGCCCAACATAGGAGCTGAGTACGTCCTGCGTACTCAGCTGAGTGGACCAAGTTGACTCATTAACTCATTGACTTTGACTTTGACCATGGTTGACCAAGTTTCACTTAAGGTTTTTTAGGTATTTTGAGCTATAAATTAAGCCTTGGTCTCTATCTGTTGAATAAGTGACATGTAGAGCCGGTATTCGGAGCAGTGTATGCTTCAACTATTCGTTAGACTATGAGATGAGTTTTCCTCGCTGTACTTGTGGGTCGAAGGCACCAATGTCAGCCCACTAGATCTGTATACTGGTATATAGGATGTTGCTATGTGGTAGGGATCTGTAGATCTGTCAGCTAGTCTATTAACTAGTTATATGATTATCTGTTGTTGGATATATGTTATTTGTTATGTATATATCGACCTGGTATGGTGGGATTGAGACTGTATTGCTTTGTGTTGTAAGTCAATAGACCGGGGCATTCCAACTGAAAGTTTGTGGGCTGGGGTAATCCAACCAGGAGGTTGTGGACCCGTTATGTATTGGGCAAGCCAACCGAAATGTTGTGGGTCGGGGCATTCTAACCGAAAGGTTATGGGCCATGGGTAATCAAACTAGGAGGTTGTAGACCCGTTATCTGTTTTATTATATGTTTGTGTGGTGGTACTTTGGGGGAACTCACTAAGCTTTGGCTTACAGTTTTAGTTAATGATTTTAGGTACTTCCGAGGATCATGGGAAGACGAATGCGTGATCGTACACAGCCTCCTGTTTTATGTATCTGGGTCTTGGGGAAAACTCTGATTTGAAATAACCCTTTAAAAAATAACTATTTTATAAACAATGTTGATGAATGGTTGATTTTGAAAATTTTAAATTCATTGTGATTTTTTAGTGTTACAAGTTGGTATCAGAGTCATGGTTTGAGAGAATTGGATGAGCACTCTTGTAAATCCAGACTCAAACTAGTGAACTGCAAAAGTTTTTAAACTTATTTTCAAATATGGTTTCCAAAATTAAACAAAGAAGGATGCTATGTGTGTTGAATCTATATGTCCAAGAATCATTATGGAGTGATATTACTAATAATATATGATCCTATAGAGTCACACATTTATCAAGTTGGCACATTTTGTATATTTATTATTAATATGGTTATTAATAAATAATACCAATTCTTGTATTTAATTAGGGAATAATTATTGTTTTGTGAAAATAATAATTATAAGAGAGTATAACTAGTTATTATTTTA